CCCCCTCACTTTTTTTCCGCACCCCTCAATGCCCCTGTCCCCCCCCCCCCCCCCCCCTTCCCCCCGCTAAAATTGTGCATAACCATTATTTCCAATTTCCTCTGGGTATTACAATCGTCCCAAGAGAAATCGAAGGCAATGGTTATGCAAAATTGTGGGGGGTGAACAAGGTGCATTACGGTCTGTGTGAAAATGGTAAAAACATAATTCCAAATTGAAATGCTGTTTTTCCTTCTTTATTTCTTTTCTTTTTTTATGACGGTGGGGAGAGAGGGGAGTAAGCCATGCTGCTAAAGATAAAAAGATCCCTTATAGCGGCCCGCTATAAGGAGGAGAAATATCAAGAAACTCAACCAAGCTAGTTGTCGCTTCCGCGGTTCAAAATATACCTGCAAGTAGATAGACTTTTAACTATTTTACAGACAACAACCTCCCACGTAAAGACGAACGGTATATCCCAAGATACCCCAGCGAAAGACGATATATTTCGAGATATCCTCACTGAGTCCTCGCATGATCTGCATCACAAAACGAAACTGAGAACCGCTCGCCTAACACGTGTGCACGTGAGGTTTGCGCGTATCGTGCGCGTGAACGCACGCTTTCGGCGCTCCACGCGGCCAGAGGTCGTGCAGTCATTTATCCCTTCACTTCCAAGCGTATTAAGTGAAAACATCCATAAGTGAATAGAATTCACACTTCCTAACAGTGTCCGGCACTATTAATAATGTCTTGGTGTTAAACACTCATTTTGATGCCTGCATCACCTCTATGCATCATTTGCTCTGGCAAAACAACATTCTGCCTTCGTCCGAACTTGTTCGTCGCTCTGATTGTTTGAAGTGATCTTTTTAGGGTATTGCCTTGAATAGAGGCAAGATCACAAAGCCAGATGAAATGCAGAGACAGCAAAAGCCGGAGAAATTCCTCTTAAAAAACCTTCCTCACAGGACCCGGACCCTATTTTCTTGGCCGAAGTACAAGCCAACCCCATCTTGACTGAATACTATCACGTAAAATAGTCTTCAAGCCAACTGAAATTTACATTGTCCAAGTTAGAATTGTCTGTAGTACTAATTTGTTGTCTTTGGTTGTCAGCATTGTCTACTGTTTCTGGAGCTCCTTCTGTGTTCCTGGGTGATTCCAAATCACTGTCATACTCATCCACCTCCATAGCTTCGTCTGTAAACAAAGTGAAATCGAACGGTTTGCAATATAACGAAAACAAAGTTTCATTACTTGCGCTAATCGGAGTATGCACAGACACTAAAATAGACCAATCAGATTTCGAGAAAAATCAAAGTCTCTGCCGTGACGGGAAGCAGGTCAGTTACTCGCGCCAATCAGAGCATGCGCGAGCAGTAAAACAGGCCAATCAGATTTCGAGAAAAATACATGAGGCCACTGTCAAGCGTAAGACAACCCGTAGCGGGAAGCAAGTCAGTTACTCGCGCCAATCAGAGCATGCGCCAACAGCAAAATGGACCAATCAGATTTCGAAAAAAATCTATGAAGCGGGAAGCAAGTCATGACTGATTTTGGTTTAGACTGGCTTGAAAGCGGNAGGCCAATCAGATTTCGAGAAAAATACATGAGGCCACTGTCAAGCGTAAGACAACCCGTAGCGGGAAGCAAGTCAGTTACTCGCGCCAATCAGAGCATGCGCCAACAGCAAAATGGACCAATCAGATTTCGAAAAAAATCTATGAAGCGGGAAGCAAGTCATGACTGATTTTGGTTTAGACTGGCTTGAAAGCGGCAGCACATTGTTTAACCAATCACAAACACTGGAAACGTAAAACAACGAAACTATATGTCATTGTGAAAACTCAACATGAAAAAAAAAACAAACAAACAGAACCTTACGATACTCTCATCCAAAGATGAAAAAAGGTATGTGATATCCAAGTGTAAAGATACTATCCAGCGCGCATTGTAATTCGATTCCTGCTCTGCCAGGTAAATCGATGAGCTCAAATTTTCCATTTGCTCCAATGGAGGACAATTGCACCATGACGTCATTTTACGACAACTACCACAATCCTTCAGTTTGTTGTTTTCTTGTGCAAATTAGCGCTGTTATTTTTTAAATCTCAGCGGGATTGACTAATTTAAGGAAGAAAGCAAAAACGAAATGAATTCTGGTAGTTGTAGTCAAATGTCGTCAAAATGAAAATGGCCTATTACCACGAACTTCTGCGCCTAGGCGAAGGAATATGTCTGTTGTTACTCTGTTTGCAAAACCATTCACGTTCTTACCTTCATCCTCACTTATATCGTTATCAACATCACTTTGACCTTCCCTGAAGTAAATAAACACGCACACAAGAATTAACACTCGCTGATACCTTGACTAATTAGTTCCTGAAGACTGTTACTGCCAAATTCGTTG